GCTCCCCATGCTAATGCATCGAGCATGCTGGATACCAAGGGCCAGCCCCATGACCCCTGAACCCTTTTGCAACAGGCTTCGCCCTTCGCCCGGGTCGGACACCCCTAAACCCTAAACCCTCAACCCTAAAACCTAATCCCCAAACCCTAAACCCTAAACCCCTAAACCCTAAACCCCTAAACCTTAAACCCCTAAAACCCTTTAAAAATTCTCAACCGGCAGGTTGTATCCACCAGTTCTGTGGATTCTGCATCCCGGCGGCTGCATCGCCTGCTGCCCCATTCCGCCGCCATAGAAGGCATTCCTCAGATCCGAGGGTTTAGGGTTTAGGGTTTAGGGATTAGGGTTTAGGGTTTAGGGTTTAGGGTTTAGGGTCTAGGGTTTAGGGGTTAGGGTCTGGAGTTTCCGAAAATAGGGGGGGGGNNTTTAGGGTTTTGGGTCGAGGGTTTAGGGTTTAGGGTTTAGGGTCTAGGGTTTCGGGTTTAGGGTTTAGGGTTTAGCATTCCTCAGATCCCGCTATCAACAGAACAAAGCTTTCGGGTGTTTTTACGGCCTTGGGGGTTTCATGCGGCATGATGCATCATGATTCAAGCGAAACCAAACTCGAACACAACAAAATATAGACATAGTTGTATAAATACAAACATTACATAGCACAAGCATAACATACTGCAAAAAATAACATATAATATAACATAACTATAACATAACCATGCTGCTTTATGCCATGCTTTCTGGAGAAGCCTGAAACCATCAGTTCGGCTCCCAGGGGCCCCTGACACGCCCAAGGACGAAGGGCCCTGGAAGTTAGGAGGCGATGATGATCACGGTGGTTGGCGGTTTAGGGAGTAGGGTTTTAGGGATTAGGGTTTAGGGATTAGGGTTTAGGGTTAAGGGATTAGGGTTTAGGGTTTAGGGTTGAGGGATTAGGGTTTAGGGATTCGGGTTTAGGATTTAGGGGATGATGAGGATGATGGTGGGGATGGCCCGGGTGGTGGTGGTGGTGACGCTGATGGTGAAGTTGAAAGCCTGATGGAGACAAGTAAGGCAAGGGTGACGCTGATGACACTTGCCCGAACGATGACGCGAATGATATTGATGACGACTGAGGCTACGAAAGCCATGATCGAAATAGCCGTAACAGAACGACTGCGATGATGCTGATGAGGAGGAGGAGGAGGAGGACGATGATGATGAAGATGATGGTGATGATGGTGATGAAGATGAAGATGCAGATGAAGATGAAGATGAAGATGGTGATGATGATGATGATGCTGAAGATGATGAAGGTGGTGAAGGTGATGATGATGATGATGATGATGACGATGACGGCGATGGTGAGTCTGGTGCTGCCACTGCTTGTCGTGGTGTTTAACTACTGTCTGCTATGTTTGCTTTTCCAGTATGGTTCTTAATGGCTCTGATTGCGACTCTGAATATGAAGCTGACTTTGAATCTCATCGTTTCCGGCATCAGTCCGGCCGAGTTGTTCGTGCCATGAGGGTTCCAGCAATGCGCATGCCTTCGCGAGTTCCGATGAAGAACAACCGTGCAAAGCTGCAAGGATGGCAGTAAATACGATAAGCACATCTAGGCACCTACAACCCTGAATATGGCTTCGGTGCTACTTTACGTTTGAAGCCCTGCTGTGTAAATGCCTGAGACGAGAAATTCCAGCACACAGAGTCCGACCGAGCTCCAAAGCTGAGATCGGGATTAAGGCCTAGGGTTTAGAAAAGAAGGGCTTAGGGTTTAGGGCACCCATAAGCGTCAGAGGGCTGGGGCCAGTGATGTGTCAAAGGCTGTTCGGTAAAACCACATGCAAGCGCCTGGAACGGCGTCACCACTGTCGCTTCACAACACTGCCTATAATGGGTTTGTTTAGGGTTTAGGGTTTATAGCGCTCTGTAGGATGTGTAACAATGCAGGTTTGGTTGCCGTACAATTGGAGTATCGTATCATACACCCAGGAAAGCCCTTACTCTGTTGATTCAGGCCCTCTGAACACCCGCAGACCATGCAATTCGGTCCCAGGGTCGGCCTTGGCGCCGCCGCTGGCATGTTGCCAGGAGCTTGGCCAACCTTAGGTGTAGGGGGTCTTAGGGGGTTTAGACTCTCGCGACCCGGCAATGCAAGCGGGGTTTAGGGTTCAGGGCTTTGGGTCTAGAGGTTTAAAATGCTTGTCAACGCCCGTCTCACGAGATCCGGGAAGCGGTTTTCCGCGGCGTAAGAGAGCAGCCTTTAGCATCCCCGGAGCACAACTGCACTACCCGACCACACGACCAAAGTCCTCAGGCTTAGGTTTTAGCGTACAGGTTTCAGGGTCGAGGTGCTAGGGTGTTTGGGCTTGGGAAGGGGTTTAAAGCTAGAGATCCTTCTTCTAAGATGTGTGCAAGGCTATATGACAAGTCCATGTTGCACGGCCCTTTTTGCTAAACCCTAAACCGTAAACTTTCGTAAAGCGGGGCTTAGCGGGTATGGACGGGACACACCTCGCTAACTTTGAAACTCCCGTGCGGTCCCACAAACAAAGGTTCTACAGAGACTTCCTCGACACAAAAGCAGCAACACGCCCACGGAAGAGAAAGAGCATGCTTCCAGCTCACGAAACCACCCAAGAGGAGACAACCAGGCATTATTCACAAGCCACAAATCAAAAAATGCAAAATCGGCACTACGAAGATCCCGAAGCTTGAGCAAACCCCGCACAGGCCCCGCACGGCGCTCAGCGCTATCCGGACGGCAGCTCCGAGCTGATTCTGGACACCAACCAGCTGACCGACCCGGTCGCCCTGGAATGGAAAGCATTATGTCTTTCAAAGATGAAAGCAGTATTTTCTTCTGATTTATGATGCTTTCATTTTCAAGTATAATGCTTAAAATGAAAGCAGTATTTTATTCTATCTACATGGTATCATTCGTAGTATTGCTATGGGTCTTACATGGGGATTATTAGTAGTATTGTTGTGGGTCTCTGGGACGCAAGGGCTCAGCATGCGCCGTCTTTGGTTTAACATGCCGTGGAGTTTGTTTACAACGTGTGCCTGCATGTATACTTGTATACATGTAATCAACACATCTGCATGCATGCATACATACACGTATACAGTGCAACCATACAGACATACGTCGACGTACATTCACACATACGTAAAACCGAACATGCATACATACATACGCACACACGTACATACACACATGCATAAATACGAGCCTACATAAAAACATACATACACACACGCATGCATACACACACACAAACGTAGGTGCATACCCACACACTGCATGCATGCATGCATGCATCGGTGCATGCGTGCGTGCTTGCATACAGACAGACAGACATTCAAGCCAGCCACGACGACATGTGTATGCACCAAGCATACCTACATCCACAGCTACACCTGTACCAGCCTTCACCTGCAAATGCGAATGAATGCAAATGTACGTAAACAGATGCCGACAAACATAAACAAAGATGCGCATGCTACATAACGTGTATAAGTACGTGTACAAAAATTTGTGAGTATATTTGTATATATCTTCTTATTTATCTATTTGTTTAATTATATTTCTATGTCTATATTTGGGTAATTTTGCAAACAATGTGCATTCCTCAATGCTGCAACAACATACATTGCGCTTAATACAGGCACATTCGCATTATTTGTGTTGTACCGTGCATACAATGTGATACAATGGCTCCTTATGTGATGCAACCTAAATTTCACTTCGTTGTATAATACCCCAAGGCACAAAGGTCTGCTTGCAGCAGCCGTGCTAACTTGCAACATTGCATGCTGCGCGTCAGAGAAAGCCAAACGGACTCCCCAAATCCAAAGTGGACACAGCCCAACAAGGAGCAACAAGGGTTAATCTCTCTCGCGATGGCAATGACTCTGAAGATGGTGCGGTGCATCGAGGTGGTGATGACAACGAAGGCCAAGACGACTGCCAGCACTACCACCGCACATCAATTTGAAAATAAGTGACGAAAAAGCCGTGCGAAGCAACAGTTATAATACTGGTCACGACACCAATCGCCGGAAAGAGAACGATAACAGAGATAATGATCACTGAATAGCTACACCCTGAACCCAAACCGGAAAGGACGCCTGGTCGCTCATCACGTCCTTCATCAGCTGCAAGTTTGCGCCCGTCATTTCCCGTATGCGCCTGAGGTTCTCTGCGCCTGCACCGATGGATCAAAGGTAATGTAGGGGCCTAAACAATTACCAATACTATTTTGCAGGATTCCGTATTATAATTGTTGTATAATGGCCCCCAAGACCCTATTCTACTTATTATGGCCCCTATATTAACAGTGTAGCAAGAATCGAGGATTGGAGTTTGGGGCTTAGGTTTTTTGGGGTGGGTTTAGCCTTAGGCTTGGGGTTCAGGCTCTGGGGTTTTGGATTTCGGACTGGGCCGTTGTGAGGTCGGATTCGGGGGAGGCTCACTCCTTCAACGGAGATGTCCTGCAAAAAGGCCCTGAAGTCCACGGGCTCCAATTTCCTGGAGCCCAGCGGCAGACAGGACCCTCAGAGCATCTGGCGCTTACGCTGCTCTCAACCCCAAGCCCTTTATCCCATTGGGCTCAAGTCTGCCCCAAACCCGGAACCCTTGCACTCTAAGCCCCAAACTGCAAAAAGACTCAAAGACTTAAAGCCCCAAAGCCTAAACCCCAAGCCACAACAAGTCTTAAAATCCTAGGTTTGCGTCTTCAACTTCAAACCTCCACAGCTCGGGTTTTGGATTTAGGGTGTGTAGGATCGAGTCGATGTTGCTTTGTTAGCTTCTCGCAGAAAACCCACAGCTTCAGCCTCAGAGTACAGGCAAAGGAGGCTCTTAGCCGGACAAGTCCCCAAAGCCTTTCACACTAAAAAACGACTTTGCTCTTGGTATGCAGGGTGACGGTTTCCGGTATAGGGTTTAGGGCGACGGTTTCGGGTTTAGGGGTTTAGGGTTTCGGATGCCTGGTGAAACTGTGCATATACAGCCGCCTTTGCCGATGACTGCACCCACGTACTCGTTGGGGAAAGCCACGAACAGCTTGCACTGGGCCTCCAGGGAAGCACCCAAGTTGAACGCGACCTCTACTACTCCAAGCAGAACCTGCAAAGGATCAGGACTCCCATGAGGTTTTGAGGGCTAAGTGTGTAGAGGCGGCAGGACGCGCGGCGCTTGGAAGCTCAGAACACTAGGCACGGAACCCGAGACTCGGCAATCTCTATCAATCTCTGCACCTCTAAACCCTGAACCAGAAAGAAGCCCTCTGCAACTCCCCCTTCTACAACTAGGGAAGCATCTTAGGCGCCCTTGGTTGAATTTTGGGCCCGAACCTGCCTAAACCCTAAACCCTAAACCCTAAACCCTAAAGCCTAAACCCTAAACCCTAAAGCCTAAAGCCTAAAGCCTAAGCCTAAAGCCTAAACCTGCGAAGCACTGGGAGTCCGGCGGTCTCTCCGCCAGGCTCGAAGATGCGGGTCGCTACCCTCAGGGAGGGTTTAGGGTTTAAGGGTTTAGGGTTTTTTTCCCTCCCACATAGCAAGAACCCTTAGGGTTTAGGGTTTAGGGTTTAGGTCAAGTTTAGGTGCAACGAGCATCAGGGGCTTGGGCTGGAGAGCGGAGTATTACAAGCAGGCTTAGAAGGGTTTGAGAAGATTACAGTCGTTTATGCTTAGGGTTTGGGGGGCTGCCCTCGCAAACCCACAGCCCTAAACCCGGGGTTGTGCTTGTGGAAGGTTGAAGGACCAGGGTCGAGCACCTTGAGGCATTTAAACGGGCTTCAGGATCTGTCAGGTCTTTTTGCTCAGAGAAGATCTATAATAACAATACTCGCAATCGTAGAAATATCAATACTAATTGATACCGTCATTGGAACAATAAGTAATAGCACTAGTAGTAGCAAAAGTAAAAGTAACAGTAATCGTAAATCGTTTCAGTAACTCTGACAGAGAAGATCTTGGCTTGAATGATGCACCCCTCTCAGGCCCCAGCGCATGCACCGCGCTGGCAATGTGCTCCACTGTCGGACCACTAATGTCACATCTGCGGTTTCCTTGAGAATCTGGATCTTGACCTGCAGCCCGGCCAGGATTCCAGGAGCCCCGTTTAGGGTTTAGGGTTTAGGGTTCTTGGGTTCTTGGGCTGGCATTCGGCATGTAAGGTTCGGATGGGATTTGGGGTTTACGGCTTGCACAAAAGACGATAGTGGGAGGCGTATTCCAACATACCACGGCATCTTCCTGACTATGGGGAAGCTGCTCCCTCCTGAATAACGGGGATTGCGACACACGATCGCCCTGAAGGACAAGGGCGCGCTGCTCATGTCTGCTGTTGATGCCAGCTGTTACTTGCTGCAATTCTTTGCCGTGTTCCCGGCCCGCGCCCTGTCACGCACAGTATTTCCAATAATCGTTTGATTCGTGCCAATCAATATAGTTATGATAATTATGATAATTAGTCTAGCTAACATAGTTCTTAAGAATTGAAATGTTCGCAAGAGGAGGCTCCTACATTCGGTGCTTTCGGACTTGAGATTGAGCTGGCAGGGTCTCTGCTTCAAAAGACCCTTCAGAGGTTGCTTTTTGTAGGACTCAAGGGCATGTCGAAAGTTCGGAAGAGGACAGCTTTGTTAAGAGCCCCGGTACTTTCTTAATCCAAGGGTTCAGGGAAAACCAAATCTCTGCTCAGTAACACGCATTCTCAAGCGGATGACACCCGACCTCTCCGGAAAAAGGTAGAACTGCAGGGGGCCTTTTTGCCTTCCTACCCCTAGCGAAAGCCCTTACCCTGAAATTCCCATAGCATCCTAAGAGACCCGGAAATCCTGATCCTCTTTAGCCTGACATCATGAGAGCCTGAACCCAGAGCCCGAACGAAGCAATACTTACCCCGGCAGGCCCTGCGAGCCCCCAAACGCAACCCGTGAATCAGCCTTATGATAATTATGAAACCCTCAAGGCCCTATAGATCCCTTTTCGGAGCCCTTAGGAACCCCCCCAAAAATCAGCCCCGACACTCTCCGGACAACAAGCCCTGCAAGAATCAGGCCGAGAAGCCCTCATGTTGACCCTTCCCACTTGGTAACCTGCATACGAACTCCTACAAAACCTGATAAAAAAATAACAAAAACCTGTCTCGACCCCTGCAAGCCTTTGCAAACACCCCGTGAAATCCTGATGAACCCTTACAAGCACCCCTATGAAAGTCTTCTCAAAAACCCTCACATGCCCTCAATCCCTGAGAGTCGCGCCGAGCTTGATGTTGCACTGGGACATCTCCCGGACTTGCCTCAGGCCCGCACCTCGGGGTTGGCTTAGGGTTTAGAGTTTAGGGATTTTTTTTAGGGTTTTAGGGGTTTAAGGTGTTTAGGGTTCACGTTCTCGCAACTCGGGCACCGCCAGACGAGGTCTCTCTCTCGGCTCGAGGTCAAACCCTAAACCCTAAACCCCAAACCGTGGGTCACACTACAGTTGCTTTCGGTTCCGGATTTGGACTCTCGCGACTCGAGTAATGCAGGCGAGGCTCGAACCTGGACTTAGGATGAGGGATTTAGGATAGTTTTCTACATTAGGGTCCCTTTTTAGGTGCCAATATAGTACAGCACCCTTATAAGAAGGACCCCAAAAGGGACCCTACTTTCGAGAACTACCCCTTTAGGGTTCAGGATTCCTGGGCCACGACAGCCGTTTGCTTCTGATGTGCAGGAACCTGTACCAATTCCACGTCCTGCTGCGAAGATAAAAGAATCGAACAACCCTATTATAACAACCCTTTTGCAGCCATCTTAAATAAGATAAAGAATCGAAGAACCCTATTATAACAACCCCTTTTACAACCATCTTAGATAACCGTGCAGGAACCCCCACAGAGCGACCCAATAAGAAGCCCGAAGTCGAAAAAAACACCCTACTTTCTTGAGCCCAGAAGAGTCCTCGATAGTGTTGCCAAAGGCTCTCATAGGCAAACCGACCGGAGCTGCGAGTCGGTGTTGTTGTTAGGAATTAGGATTAGGGGGGAATTTTGGGGATATAGACCCTCTCGATAAGGTCCAATTTAAGAGAGCCATAGGTAGGGATAACAAGGGTTCCCCTTTAAGGGGTCTCCCTAATGCTACCTAGGATTTGTGTCCGAGTTTAGGGGTTCAGGGACTCAGGCTTTGGGGTTTTAAGGCTTCGGAAGGTGAGCTGGGTTCAGGGACTAAGACTCTGGGGCTTTCAAGGCTTCAAACAGCTCGCGTCTTTAGCTTGGGGACTCGAAAGTATTTTACTATACTGACTATACTCATATCCTAGAAAATGCGAAAACATGCCATGCAGTTCTGGATGGTTTGAGGTTATCGCTCTGAGCTCTGGGTCACGGGCCTTGCTTGCCGATGAGCCTCCCAGCATCATTGCCTCGGAGTTGTCTCAAACGCTTGGGGGTGGAAGCGTTGCAGCTGGCATGCGAGTATGAGAGTGCTGTTGGCGCGCTCTCAGCCATCCCTGAACTCCAAACCCAGATCTCCCAATGTCGAAGTCCTCAATTTTAACAATCTCGGCTGAGACACTGGGTATCAATATGCCCATCTTCAGCCCCCCTGGAGCTTCCATCTTCAGCTCCTCGGAGGGCCGGGACCGCCCCCCGATCTCTACGGCGTCTCACCACGACCGCCTGTTGCAGAGCCGAACACCACGAGCCGGCGTCAGTCATCGCTTGGTGAGCAAACGGCCGGAAGGCGCAAGGACTGTGATCTAAAAAAGGGTATAGAACCCACTAGAACTAGAACTACAGAATTAGAACAAACCAGGATAGACTAGAACTGGAGTAGAAGAGAATAGAACCACAGAATAGGATGGAGTTAGAATCGAACTGGACGCAATACAGTGTTCAATGTAGTAACATTGAATAGAACAGAACTGGAATAGAACCAAAAAGAATGGCACACGCTTAGCATAGAGTAGAATTAAAGGAAAAAAATGTCATGGAAAAATGGAACAGTGTAGAACATCACAGAACAAAACAGAGCAGAATAGAATAGAAAAGACCAGACTGGACGAGAATAGAAGAGAATGGAACAGAATAAAATGCAATGTCGTGCAAAGCAAAGCAAAGCAAAGCAAAGCAAAGCAGCATGAGGCAGGGTCATGACACGGAACACAGTGGAACACAACGGAACGCAACGGAAATGAACTGAATGCGAAACATGCAATGGAATGCAGCGCGTCGCCATGCAGCAAAATATCTGTGTAATCTACCAGATTACCAGGTGTCATGTAATCCTGCTTTTTTCCTTGGCCCGAGTCGAGTGGCCAAGAGCTTGGGTTCCCGGCGCAGGTGGCGGACGGGCACATCTGCAGCTGCGATGGCGCGATGGGGAAAGAATGAAAACCGCAGAAACTTCGGCCCTTGGGACTGTCTGGAGGTTAATTTCGCCATCTGCGCTATAAGCTGACCTGGCACAGCCGTGCCAACCACATCTCCAGCAGACTGGGTGATCGGAGGGCTAATGTACGGCTCGCTCACAGGCTTTAGCTTGATCATCGTGGTCCTAAAGCAGTGGAAGCCAAGGCACGCACAAATCACAACTACCGTGACGGACGTGGACACCGCCACAGCAACCCCGACACCCTGATCGTAGGCCACTCCCTTGACATCGTGCTGCGCAGCATCCTCCTTACACTCGAAACACTGGTAGGACCAAGTTGCATCGAGAAAATCAAGGGTGCATGCACCTTCGTAGTGGTGACAATGGCAACCGGACTCTGGGCCGTTGCCCGGCACGAAGCAGCGTTAGGAAGAGAGCCGTGGCAGCACGACCAGCACGTGACTGGCTCATCTCATCGAGGCACCTGAAGTCATTGCCTCTGGCACTGCAGATGCTGCTCTTTCGTCGCAGAATCGCAGGATCGGCACATGTCCGAGCCTGGCAGGTAGATTCTGACACTGTGCAGTCGCATCAAGGTGATTCCCCACGTTGTGAGACCCCGTACCGGTGCCGGTGTTGGCTTCTGATGCGAAGAAGCCGCAGAGGAGCACCAGCCGGGCCCATCACTGCATTGTCGCCATGGCAACGGGAGCAGGTGACGTGCCGGAGCCAAAAGGCGTCAAGCCATAGCCATTTTAGGGCTCTGGGGCTTCTTAACTCATGCGTGCGGGCATTGCTTGAGGTCCGCAATCCGTGTCATCGAAACCCGAAGGACGTCTTGGGTCCGTATCCAAGACTATCATCACAAACATGGAGTTCAGTGGTTCGAAGTAAGGGGCCTCCAAAGTGTGGACAACGACGGCTCCGTCGTCACGACCGGGCCAACCCCTGATTCTATTTCCGAGCTCTGCAAGCAAGCCACAGATTTCCGCCCTCTTCCGCTGATGTAGGGCCCTTATTTAGTAATTAGAATAGGGTTTTGGGCCCCATTATTTTGGAACCCCCACAATCATCCAGGTAACTATTGAGGCCCCTTTATTCTCGCGCTTTTCCCGCATTTTCGGCCATGATGCCGCCATGCCCGCTTCCTGTGAAAAGCTGGGCCAGAGTTTCTCAAGGTTCGGGGTTTCGAGACTGCCTGGACCCCAAAGAACCTTCCTTATGATGATGTGTTTATCTAAGCTTTAAGTAAGCCCTTGAAAAAACGGCTCAAGTTCAGGATTGAGGGTTAGGGTTTGGGATGCGACCCCGGCGACCCCCCAGGCAGTCCGCAACACACCGGGCCACAAAGCTGTCCTCAAGAGTTACGCTGCTCTGACTTCCGAAACCCTCGTTCCTACAATAGCAACCCTTACAGAAAGCCTTATCACGCTCCGTTCTTGTAACCCCTATTAACCCTAGACCCCAAACCCTAAATCCCTAAATCCCTAAACCCTGAATCCCTAAACCCTCAACCCTATAGCCTATAATTTACAGAACCCTGAAACCCTCTCACGAGCCTGCCCGCCTGGCCCGGCGCGCTAGGTTCCTTCCCGGACCTCGGCTGTGGCGCTTTGAAGCGAGGCATAAACTGCTTGTCGGGTTTAGGGTTTAGGGTTTGGGGTTTAGGGGTTTAGGCTTCATGTAGTGGCCCTGGGCCGCTAGAATAAAGACTTTGTTCGAGGAATGTGTAATTTTGCTTTGCTGTGGGCTTCTATTGGGTTTCTACAGCAGAAGACTGGCCTCCTCGGTGGAAGGGAAAGCATGCTGCTGCGAGAGGGGGCTGAGGTTTGGGGTGGGCTTAGGATTTCGGATATGGGATTTTGCATATTGCTAGCTGCTAGCACAACAAATGGGAGTCTACCAGGATTATAAACCTTATTGTGTTGCTTTTTCTTCTTCTTGCTACTAATAAGCGTATGACTACTGTCATGGAAAGCCGTCATGAGCTCTAAACCCTTCGTTCGCATTTGTCGGGGTGATGACCGCATGGTCCAACCGTCTGACCCAACTCCAGCCCCTATCCTCCCCCTCAGCGCTCGACAGGCTTCACAAAAACCCTGTACAGCTGGGAAGCCTGAAGCGTGGAAAACACCCGCTGGAGGAAGGATGCCCGGGCCCTCTCCACAAGGCTGCAGCTACAAGAGATACCAGCCGATGGGCCAGGACACCCGGTCTTCGCTACCCCATTTCTCTAAGTCCTTCGGATCCGCTTGAAAGAATCTTGCGGCCTCCCTGCTGGCCAGCTGGGGGGATTCCAGGATGCAGTGGTGAGTCCCCGCCGCAATGGAAACCAACTTCGCTCTCTGGGCCAGGCCTGCGGGCGAAGTTGCTTGAAGGCTGCCCCCAAAACCCCACGTAACCCCCCTTCCCTAACCATTGCTTCTAAAGCCCCGAGCTGAGATGCCAGAGAGAGAGTCATGGAAAAGAGGGGCCTGCAATCTCATACTGCGTGAAGGCTGGGGTCATGACGTCCAGGAGCCCAGCCACGACCAAGATGGGCACGGGAAGCTCCGGGAGCGTGTAAGCCTGGGTTCGTGCTACGTGAAAATCTAATTTAAGTTACCATAAAATAAGGAAACATATAAGGAAACCATATTATTTTAAAATAGATCCCCATTACATGGTAACTTAAATTTACAGACCCCCATAACAACGGCCCAGAAGCTGAGGAGTGGCTGTCCAAAGCTTGCAAGATGCGCATCACGTTGTTGCAATGATCGGGGCCATGGCCCGTCAAGTCCAAGGCGTTGGAGGCCATGGTATACTCCAAACTCGCAGAGCCCAGCAGAAAGCCGTTCAAGCGATGGAGGGTGCAAGAGACGAGCTCGTTGAGCTTCACCCAGAGGCTCTTGAACCTCTGGAACTCCTTGGCGTCATTGCAGATGTAGAAGCGCACGAAGTAGATGGCAGTGGACAGCAAGCGAGACATCGTGGAGAGGAAGAAGAACTGGGGCATCGGCTGGAAGGCTGTGTGCAAGGTGTGGCCATGGGACCCGTTCACCAAGAAGATGCGCTCCACAGTTTCCGGGTAGAGCCCCGCGTACTCAAGGGAGCACTGAACACCGGTGGACCAGCCGCAGACGGCGTGCCACTTCTCCAGCTTGAGATGCCTTAACAAGTCGTAAGCATCTTCACATAAGGCTCTCACGGAGTAGCTTGAGGTGGCCGGGGGCGCCTCGGATTTGTAGAGACCCCGGTAGTCCCAGGTGATCACCGTGACCTCTTCCCTCCAATCTTTGCCGAAGCTCTCGGTGAGGGAATCCATCAAAGGCTTCCAAAGCAAGTAAGAGCAGTTCACCCCATTACAGATGAGCACGTACTTGGAACCTCTTCCCTCGGAGTAGTAGTGGAGGCTCAGGCCATCCCGATTCTGGAACTTCCCGTTCTCTGGCGGCTCGTTCTTCTCGATGGCCTTCAGCACCTTCTGCTCCAGGCTTTCCGGCCCCGTCCAGCTTGGGAGCAGCTTAGCCCTGCTCGCCGCATAGCTCTGATACTTCTGATACACCCAGAAGAGAAAAAGAGGCCAAAGGATGGGAATGACCAAACACAAAGTCACCACGGAGCTGAGTAAAATCAGCTTGATCCAGGAGATTGCGTTGGCTATGCCACTGTGAATTAGGTACTGCGCCATGACGTAGAAGTATCGGTGAGTTCCGAAGCGCCAAAGGGACTTGCCCATCTCCAGGGGGGTGCTCGCGGCCATTGTTTCAGGCAGCTTCATGTGACTTGTGCACGTCCTAAAATTCTACGGCTTCTCCTCCTGACTTGCTGTGATCCGAAGGTGAGCTCATTCCGAAGGGGCAAAGTGGAGTGCAGATTCAACTTGCCATAACTCTATGACGATCTGTACCTGGAAGGCTCCCACCCCTCTCCTGGCAGTGCCAAGCCCGAGGCACAGATTGCAAGCAGCAAGTGGCGAGTCGCCGCGACGGAGCTGAGAACATAACATGACAGTTGACACAACTAGCTGTAGCTACATTCTGTAGTTAAGATGTCGAATTAGTGTAGTGCTGCGGCAGAAAGCTCTGTCACAATTGAAGAATTCCCACCTATATAGTGCGAGTGAACTGCACGATGATCTAGCTGTGAAGTGACGACTTCTGCATGCAAAGCGCATATGCGATGCTCACTGCAAAAGACGCCGCACACTCAATGTCGACGCAGGAACGACCTTCCCATGCAGGAAATCAAGAGACAGAAGCTCAGGGAGGAAACATGACAGCGGTCTAGGCTCTGCCATGATGCCTTCAGGGTTTAGGATACACGGTTAGGGGTGCTGAAGGGCCGCCGGCGGGTGGAAGGAACAGTTGCTGGGTTGCAAGGCCTGGCATTGAAATCCTGGCCTACGGTGGCGTGTGCTGCCAGTAGCAGCAGCACCACTGCAGCAAGCAGGTGGCAGCAGGGATGTCTCACGCATCACGGACACGATTTTCTCAAGCATGGCTTCTTCCGGGTCTCGTTCAGCTGTTGCTACGGTACTACTGCCCGTAGAAAGTCATTAAAACCGGGGGTGAGCAACTTCCTCGTTCAACTTCCACCGGCAGCATCGCCCTTAAAGCACAGCATCACGTCTATGTACACCCCTTGTGACATGCGACGGTAGACCCCGTGCGGACGATGAGGCCGGAAGGGGGCCTGGAGTCTGGATATATGTATTCGAGCACCCAAAGACTCCAATGCCTCTCATTAGGGGCTCCTTCCGAAAAGTCGACAAGGCAAGTTAAAGCATAAACAGCTCTCAAGGATACGCGACTCTAAACTTACACCCCTGCATAATCCCAAAAAGCCATAAAACCCGGAACAAACCCCTCTGAAGGCATCCGGAGTCTCTGGGATTTCAGCTTGCCCCCACACAGTGTAGACGCGGTGGGCCAGGAATTAAGTTAACCTCATTCATGACCTGGGCGAAGTCTTAAACTAGGTCTCAAGCCAGGACTGCAGGGTTGTCAGAAAATCCTTCTGGTAGGGATTCTATGTTATAGAGTCGATACGATCCGAGGGCCCGCTAATTATGTGAAATCCCAATGCCACTGCTTGTTGAAGACACAAGTTGCTAGTAGTCGCAGGTCTTCGCGGAAGCAGAGAAGTTCACCACCTAGAATCGCATCACACTGAGCGACTGGGTACCAAGCAGAAGCGCTGACACCAGACATGTTGACAGCCAAGAAGTGAAACGAGGGATCAGATCCGAATGACTGTTTCATCGTCATCAGCCCCGTATCATAGAGAGGAATCTTGCAACGCTTCGATCCTCTTCAGCTATCTCCTGCAGGCCAGCTTCAGGATCCAAAAACGCTTGGATTCAGGAAGCCTGATGCAAGGGGCAGGCAAGAAGCTGTAACATGTGCTTCTCCCGGCACCCTTGAAACTGAAGCCAACCTACCAATTGCATACACAGCGCACCGTCTCTTGTACAAAGGGCGGTGCATGCCGTGGGCTTTCCGCAATACCTCTGTCTGTAGCCGGAAATGCCCGGAATTGGGTAGCCTGCTGCCTCACCAGATCTCTCAAGGCAAATGGGAGAAGACCTCCCCTAGAGATCGGCGCTCAATTCCCCGAGAAGTCTGTCTCACTCAGCTCCTACTCTGGCTCCGCGGTTTGGGGGGGGGTAGGATTCGGACCAAGAGCCCTTTTTCTCAGGACTGCTGAACAAGGCACCCCTCGTCTTAAAGAATCCCAACCATGTAGTGTGAATTGGACAATTAGCACACAGGGGGGGGACGAAGAAACCCACCGGATTAGCTCCATCCTTCCGCCGTAAACAACTCGACATAAGCTGGCCATGATCAACATCCGGTGGGCATCCCATCCTCCCCACAGTTCAGAGCTCGGGGCTTGGTTTGTAGGGTGTCTCGATGCCAGGGCTTGCTGCCAGTGAGGCTCGCAGACTACCTGAAGAATTGGACCCAGAGGCCCCTTCAAAGCCGGAGCCCTGTGCCTGGGCCAAAGGATGGAGGGAGCACCACAGAAGACTCGAATGAGAAGCTTGCAAAAAAACCAGCATGAACTGTTGCTCCGCCAAGAGCTGATTCCGTATCATCTACCATAATAATATACCAGAATATTCTGTTAGCATGTGGAAACAACTTTTATTTTGCGGATGTCCGGTTCATGCCAGCCGGGCGTCGGGAAGAACCTCAGGTCATGTCCTGCAGCTACAAGCTCAAGACTTCGGCGTGACGAGAAAAGAGTTGCATCGCCTGGCATGGGTAAGGAATAGTCATAGAAGTACAATGAAGAACGACAAGAAGAATTGTCATGATGATGCTATGATTGCGACTGCTATTTTTGGGGATGACGCTGGGGGCAAGAAGTATGACGTCACCTTCCTGCCCAGGGACCGGAACATCCTTTACAGCCACAGAAATGATGATCCCCACTGCAGTTGCCGCCTCGCCTGCATGTTGGCCTGCACGGTGCTGGGGTGCGGCTGATACGGAATCCCGCCTCAAGCATCAACACGGGCTGCTTTATTCAGAGACGAAACGAAACTCTGCCAACCACCTGCGTCAGAACAGCATACAAGCAAGTGAAGGAATGCGCAGAAAGGTTCCGGCAGTCAAACCATCCAGAGAAACACTGGTGACATCACGATAAACTTCGTCAACACAGCCTGGGGAAGTTCCAGTCCGAGGGTTGGGGTTGTGGCAACAGTATTGCCAGGCCCGTCTACCCAGCAAATTCCAGAACAGTGGCTCCATGGTGCCGGAATGTCGTCGGGAGTCGTGATTGGATAATCGGCTTGACCGTCGAAAAGAAGAAAGCGGTCGTACCCGACGTACCTGTCTGGCAAGGTCTCGTGCCGGCATTATCAACAACGGGCATTCACAATAAACCCTAAACCCTAAACCGTAAACCCTAAACCCTAAACCGTAAACCCTAAACCCTAAACCCTGAAACAATGCTGTCAAGGCTCTTTTGCCGATGATCGCTGGCCCTTGGCAAGCCGAACTGTGTCACCGCGGACGACAGAGGGAGCCTCGAGGTCTGCTGGGAGCCGAAATCGGTTTAGGGGTTTAGGGTTAGGAGGT